CAAAAAAGTAAGGAATGGGATTTAAGAATATATACATATATGGACAAGCAATGACAGAGCAGCATGGACTAAGATACAGAAGAATATTATAGAATAGAATGCAGTATATACATATGAGATGAGTCTCCTGAGTGGCGCAGTGGTCTAAGGCACTGCATCGCAGTGCTGACTGTGCCACTAGAGATCCTGGTTCGAATCCAGGCTCTGTCGCAGCCGGCCGCGACCGGGAGACTCATGGGCGGCGCACAATTGGCCCAGGGTAGGGGAGGGAATGGCCGGCAGGGATGTAGCTCAGTTGATAGAGCATGGCGTTTGCAACGCCAGGGTTGTGGGTTCGATTCCCACGGGGGGCCAGTATAAAAAAAATATATATATGTATTCACTAACTGTAAGTCGCTCTGGATAAGAGCGTCTGCTAAATGACTAAAATGTAAATGAATAATAATAATAAATAATATGCCATTTAGCAGACGCTTTTATCCAAAGCGACTTACAGTCATGCGTGCATACATTTTTTGTGTATGGGTGGTCCCGGGGATCGAACCCACTACCTTGGCGTTACAAGCGCCGTGCTCTACCAGCTGAGCTACAGAGGAACACAAATGAGTAGTGCAAGATATGAAAACATTATTAAAGTGACTATTGTTCCATTTCTTAAAGTGGCCAGTGACTTCAATAGGCAGCAGCAGCCTCTAATGTGCTAGTGATGGCTATTTAACAGTCTGATGGCCTTGAGATAGAAGCTGTTTTTCATTATTTAGGTCCCAGCTTTGATGCACCTGTACTGACCTCGCCTTCTGGATGATAGCGGGGTGAACAGGCAGTGGCTCGGGTGGTTGATGTCCTTGATTATCTTTTTGGCCTTCCTGTGACATCGGGTGCTGTGTCTTGGAGGGCGGGTAGTTTGCCCCCGGTAATGCGTTCGGCAGACCGCACCACCCTCTGGAGAGCCCTGCAGTTGTGGGCGGTGCAGTTGCCGTACCAGGCGGTGATACAGCCAGACAGGATGCTCTCAATTGTGCATCTGTAAAAGTTTGTGAGGGTTTTAGGTGATAAGCCAAATTTCTTCAGCCTCCTGAGGTTGAAGAGTCTCTGTTGCGCCTTCTTCACCACACTGTCTGCGTGGGTGGACCATTTCAGTTTGTCGTGATGTGTACGCCAAGGAACTTGAAGCTTTCCACCTACTCCACTGCGGTCCCGTCGATGTGGATAGGGGGGTGCACCCTCTGCTGTTTCCTGAAGTCCACGATCATCTCCTTTGTTTTGTTGATGTTGAGTGAGAGGTTATTTTCCTGGCACCACACTCCCAGAGCCCTCACCTCCTCCCTGTAGGCGGTCTCGTCATTGTTGGTAATCAAGCCTACTACTGTTGTGTCGTCTGCAAACTTGATGATTGAGTTGGAGGTGTGCTTGTCCAAGCAGTCATGGGTGAACAGGGAGTACAGGAGGGGGTTGAACACGCACCCTTGTGGGGCCCCAGTGTTGAGGATCAGCGAAGTGGAGATGTTGTTTCCTACCTTCACCACCTGGGAGCGGCCCGTCAGGAAGTCCAGGACCCAGTTGCACAGGGCGGGGTTCAGACCCAGGGCCTCGAGCTTAATGATGAGCTTGGAGGGTACTATGGTGTTGAATGCTGAGCTATAGTCAATTAACAGCATTCTTACATAGGTATTCCTCTTGTCCAGATGGGATAGGGCAGTGTGCAGTGTGATGGCAATTGCATCGTCTGTGGATCTATTGGGGCGGTAAGCAAATTGAAGTGGGTCTAGGGTGACAGGTAAGGTAGAGATGATATGATCCTTGACTAAGCACTTCATGATAATATGTGCGGGGGAACAGGTTAGTCGAGGAAATTGAGGTAATATGTACATGTAGGTAGAGTTAAAGTGACTATGCATAGATAATAAACAGAGAGTAGCAGCAGTGTAAAAGAGGGGGGGGGGGGGGAATGCTAATTGTCCGGGTAGCCATTTCATTAGCTGTTCAGGAGTCTTATGGCTTGGGGGTAGAAGCTGTTAAGAAGCCTTTTGGACCTAGACTTAGCGCTCCGGTACCGCTTTCTGTGCGGTAGCAGAGAGAACAGTCTATGACTAGGGTGGCTGGAGTCTTTGACAATTTTTAGGGCCTTCCTCTGACACCGCCTGGTATAGAGGTCCTGGATGGCAGGAAGCTTGGCCCCAGTGATGTACTGGGCCGTACGCACTACCAGCTGTAGTGCCTTGCGGTCGGAGGCAGCACAGGCACATACCAGGCGGTGATGCAACCAGTCAGGATGCTCTCGAAGGTACAGCTGTGGAACTTTTTTGAGGATCTGAGGACCCATGCCAAATCTTTTCAGTCTCCTGAGGTGGAATAGACTTTGTCGTGCCCTCTTCATGACTGTGTTTGTTGGTGATGGGACACCAAGGAGCTTGAAGCTCTCAACCTGCTCCACTACAGCCCCGTCGACGACAAATGGGGGCGTGCTCGGTCCTCTTTTTCCTGTTGTCCACAATCATCTCCTTTGTCTTGATCACGTTGAGGGAGAGGTTGTTATCCTGGCACCAAATGGCCAGGTCTCTGACCTTCTCCCTATAGGCTGTCTCATTGTTGTCTGTGATCAAGCCTACCACTGTTGTGTCGTCGGCAAACTTAATGATGGTGTTGGAGTCGTGCCTGGCCATGCAGTCATGGGTGAACAGGAGGGGACTGAGCACACACCCCTGAGGGGACCCCGTGTTGAGGATCAGCGTGGCAGATGTGTTGTTACCTACCCTTACCACCTGGGAGCGGCCCATCAGGAAGTCCAGGATCCAGTTGCAGAGGGAGGTGTTTAGTCCCAGGGTCCTTAGCTTAGTGATGAGCTTTGAGGGCACTATGGTGTTGAACGCTGAGCTGTAGTCAATGAATAGCATTCTCAAGTAGGTGTTCCTTTTGTCCAGGTGGGAAAGGGCAGTGTGGAGTGCAATAGAGATTGCATCATCTGTGGATCTGTTGGGGCTGTATGCAAGTTGAAGTGGGTCTAGGGTTCCTGGGATAATGGTGTTGATGTGAGCCATGACCAGCCTTTCAAAGCACTTCATGGCTACAGACGTGAGTGCTACAGTTCGTTAGTCATTTAGGCAGGTTACCTTAGTGTTCTTGGGCACAGGGACTATGGTGGTCTTCTTGAAACATGTTGGTATTACAGACTCAGTCAGGGACATGTTGAAAATGTCAGTGAAGACACTTGCCAGTTGGTCAGCGCATGCTCGGAGTACACGTCCTGGTAATCCGTCTGGCCCTGCGGCCTTGTGAATGTTGACCTGTTTAAAGGTTTTACTCACATCGGCTACGTAGCGCGTGATCACACAGTCATCCGGAACAGCTGATGCTCTCATGCATACTTCAGTGTTGCTTGCCTTGAAGCGAGCATAGAAATAATTTAGCTTGTCTATTAGGCTCGTGTCACTGGGCAGGTCGCGGCTGTGCTTCACTTTGTAGTCTGTAATAGTTTGCAAGCCCTGCCACATTCGACGAGCGTCGGAGCCGGTGTAGTACGATTCAATCTTAGTGCTGTATTGACGCTTTTTCTGTTTGATGGTTCGTTGGAGGGCATAGCGGGATTTCTTATATGTAGTATTGAACATGTATCTTCTTAGGTGGGAAAATAACTGCAACATTCAGAACTTTTCACCCTCCAAAATAAACACACATTATGATCAATTTCAATGTGATCAAAAACTTGAGGAAAAGTGTTTTCATGTTCTTGCAAAAGGGTCTCACGTAATGATTGACAATTGTTCAGCCAACCAGAACTCTGTATAACTCTGCCTACTCAAAACTGGCACTTTGATTGGATTGAGTAAATGTCACCCAAGTTGGTGGTGCATGTCCCGGTACACCAGGTGAGTGGATATTTCACTTAAGACCAATGGAATGGTCTAAAATTATGTAAACTCTGTTCACCCGGGGCACCGGGACATGCAAAACGAACTTGACCAGTTCCTCCGTTCCTTTCTACAGCCCAAACCAATGAGTAAAAGTTTACCCAGGCGAAGGAGATGGGACTGTATGGAAGGGAGTTTAGTCCAACGGTAGATATTCCTGTAAATCCACCATGGCAACTCCCGCCTCCAGTAGTTGATCTAGACGTGTTGGAGAGACTACATAAAGATAGGGAGGGTGTTGATCCATCTGGTTTGTTTAAGAGATGTCCGGAAACTGTGTATCAGGATTTTGTGGCCATTTACACAGATGGTTCAAAAGATCCAAGGACAGGACGTACTGGGTCAGCATTTGTAGTGCAGGAATGTGGAGTGGAAGTCAGGAAACGTATTAAAGATAATCTGGCTGTATATACGGCAGAGCTGATGGCCATACTGTTAGTGGGTGCAGGAAGTCAAGGCAAAGGCAAAAATACTGATATATACAGTGATGGTGCAGAGATGGCAGGAGCAGTGGAATAGAGATAACAAGGGAAGGCATTTATTTCAAGTACAGAGGAAAGTCGGGGAGGGGAGGACAGCAGGAAGGGACAGAAGAGAGGAGGCTATTTTTACAAGATTAAGGGTGGGACACAGCCAGTTGAATAAGACATTAAATGTGATAGGAAAGCATCCAACAGGAAAGTGTGATTATTGTCAGGAAACAGAGACCGTGGAGCATGTATTGCTACAGTGTGGGCAATATCAGAGGGAAAGATTGAGGATGAGATCTAGTATGAGGGAGAAGGGGATACAGGAAATTAGTTTAAAGAGTATATTGAGTAGAACGTCCTTAGATATAGTCTCAAATATTTTGTTATCTTTTTTAAGAGCAATGGTGCTGGCAGGTAGGACTTAGTTTCTCCCTGTCTCTGGCCCACACTCCAGTACAGTAGGTGGCGGTAATGCACCATAACGTTGTATGCCAACCGCCGATAAACCCCACTGAAGAAGAAGAAGATGAAGATGAAGAAGAAGAAGAGGAAAAGTTTTCATAGGTGGGAGTGAGCAACAATGAGTGAGGAAAACGATAGTGGGGCGACAGTATTCTTTTTTATTGTAAACAATATCAACAATTCAAAATACAGTGCCTGTTGTTCTATCAACCAACAGTAAGTCGAGGGATTCTCCCTTATCTTTGCGAAGAAAGTAATTTGTGTCGACCTTTGAGGTATTCCCACCTTTCTGAAGGCAGAAGTGGGGGATGGACGAGGTGCGGCCTACCAGCGGACTAGCAACCCCCAGCCTGGCGTCACTCTTCCCCCCGGGTCTGCAGGCAATCTACGGGGAATGCAGGCGCCTCTACCCCGACCAAGCCAACCCCTTACAAGTTACAGCCATTGTAAAATACTGGTGAGTAGATAACGTCTTCTTCTGGATACATAACTTTGTAACGTCCGATTAATCGAAAACCAGCTAAGTTAACTGTTATCTAGCTAACAGAGGACACGGCGAGAAAGTTAACTAGCTAAATTAGCTAGTAGCCGAATAAACTCAACGATTTACGATTGAGTATTTTTATTGAATCAAATATAACAGACATCGAATTAAAGAATTGACAAGAACATAAAAGACAAACAAAAACAGAAAAAAATAGTTATGACAACGTAAGATAATGTGACAATGACACTTATTCAGAAAATAATTCGATAATATTGGACTGTCGACAAGCTTTTCTTATTATTTAGTAATTTCAGACTCAATTAAAAACAGCCTATCAAAAACACTTTTTAAATTAGGGAGCTAATTTTAAAAAAAAGAGTTTTGTGAATATAACGTTTACCAAACACTATCATGACATTAGTTATACATTTCAAAGAGTTCAGAGTACTGTCAGAAAAGGTTATAACATTATTGCATTTCATTTCAATAGTGACCCGTTTTACTCCTCCATAGCTCTCCAAAATCTAATAGTGTCAGTGCCGATTTTAGCATGTAAATCTTGGTGGGGCAAAAAAATGCATTCCAGCAAAGCCACAACACTAAACAATACATTAATTGCACTATAACGGTGACAAACGGTGCCTACAAACTGTTAGGGCCTACATAAAGTTGTCCCAACAGCAGAGTCCCAACACCTTACCACTGCTACACCTGGCTATCAGCTGAGCCTTGTCTGGCAACGAAACAGTTCATTCAGCCTCATTTACTGCTTTAAAAAAAAATTATACATAGCTGATATGGCTGACTTGCTTAAACAAATGTGGTTTCTACTGACAATTGAGATGTACAAACTATGGCACAAGGGGACAACAAGCGGATAAGAGGCAATCTCAATTAAGACATATTGAGCGAGCCAGGACGGTCGTAGTCAATATAACTATTTGTTCAGCACTTATGTAGAGCGACAGAATTCAGAACATGGGCCGTTCTTAGTGTTCTCCCTGTACACCAAGTCAAACCGTAGGATAAATAAAGCTCTTACAATATTCAATGATTACATTTCTCAAAAACATGTTATAGGCTACATGTGCACCACCGAGTCAGAACAGTAGGCGAAATTAAGAGGTGAAAATATACCAAATTATTAGGGTGAGGCACATGGGCTGCTAACAGCTTACTAAACAACATACACTTAGTATTACTTTCTTAGCTACAGTATACATATCTCCCTGGCATATATTACATCATTTATGCAGCAGCATATAAGACATTTTTGGAGTCACCTTGTTGTGATGTGCTTACTTGAACAGGAATGTGGCGCAGCAGTCCTTCGTGGGCAAAGTTTGTCATCAAAGAAAGAGAAAGAGGCCGGATTTACAATTCCGAGTTGAATGACCGTTCAAAGCGTATTTTCCCAGTATGAGCTATAATAATAATAATAATATGCCATTTAGCAGACGCTTTTATCCAAAGCGACTTACAGTCATGCGTGCATACATTTTTGTGTATGGGTGGTCCCGGGGATCGAACCCACTACCTTGGCGTTACAAGCGCCGTGCTCTACCAGCTGAGCTACAGAGGACCACGCTTGTTTATTCCCGACTTCCCAGTTGCAATGCTTGCAGTTAGCCACTGTCACCGATTCCTTCCAAACTACTCATTGTTGAATTTGCGATTTCCAACTTGTTGTGTAATGTTTATGTCCAATGGCCGATGAGCAACGATACATTTTATCTCTATTTTCTCTTCATATGACAAGGATTAAAAAGAATTTGCCAATAGATTGTCGACTTGATTCATGATGATGGCTGCTAGCTAAGGTTTTGAAACTAAGATGTTGACATGATCAGTCCAATCAAAGCTACTGTACATATAACGTGATTTGACGTCATTTTATCAATACCACTTTGGACTTTTGATATCAATACCATTAATAGACTAGGTTCTATTCTAAGTGAAAAAACATATGGCTTTTCATTAGCTGGGAAATACCTGAGGGAATAGCATTAACCACAGATATATTCTTGGCATGTAACAGAAAATGCTTTGACTCTTAAAAAGACCTCATAACTTAACATTTGGCCACCACTATCAAACATGTCACCTGCAAAGATATCTTTCTCTATCCAATGTTGCATAAAAATACTTTTGTTTTTAATATTGATATTACCATTATTCCACTGAATAGCTTTGAGGTGAAAAGTCAATAGGGTGTAAATGGGTCCAAATGAAACTCTGGTTCTGGTGTTATACTTTGTATTCCATGTTATAGAGAAGCTTCTCAGGAACAAAGAATACTTTATTTAATGAGGATAGGACTTACCATTGCGGAGATCTTATTTTCAAGTGATCGGAAAAGGTAAAGGTTGCAGATAGGTCAATATTAATCCCTAGTCAGAAATGGCACCAAATCACCCGTCTGGATTCTTAATTTCAACACTTTTTTTTGTCCAATATCTCAAGATAGGGTTGTCATATTGTTATGACTTTTTCATAAAATGTAGAACACGGAGTTGATTCAAATAAAAGTAAAAGGTATTAAATTAAAATGCAGTATTATGCACATCTGGCACTTATATGCAAATTAGGCAGTATGGAATACATAATTACAGTAATTTAAGACCAATCATTTAAGGTAGAGTGGTCATTATTAACAAATCCTTATGCTTTATGCAAAAATGAAAGTTTGTTACAATTTGTAAGAATTTATGAAATTATAAAGCAACTTTTTACACTGTATGCAAATTGGGTACTTCATATGCTAATTAGTATGTACGGATTAAATAAATACATAGCATGTTAAGCCCATTCATTTAAAGTAAGGTGGTCATATTAACATATTTTTTTGTTTTATGCAGAACTGGGAGGCTGGAACAATTTAACAAAGCAATACCAAATAATGAATATAACAAAAATATTTAGTTAGTGAATTGCAACGTTCCATTCATTTCAATGGAAAATGTATCATTTATTATTAGAATTACTTTTTGTTATATAATAATAATTGTATCTAATTTTAACTAGTCAATTATGAGCAGGTGACTGAGTAACACAATACTCTAATCTGGCCTAGGCCTATATCTCTTTCACATCTTTTTCACTCTGACACATGCATGCAAAAATGACACTCAACAAATCTCTCTCTCTCCCATGGGCGCACACACTCTGCCAGCCAGTCAAGTGGATCTCGGGCACAGTAATAGTTTAAAAATGGGCTTGGACTACTGCAGTTTGCAATGCTGCCTATAACCCTTCATGTCCTGTTACTGTAAGATCTTTTTTTATTATTTAACCTTTATTTAACTAGGCAAGTCAGTTAGGAACAAATTCTTATTTACAATGACGGCCTACCCAGGCCTAACCCGGATGACGCTGGGCCAATTGTGCGCCGCCCTATGGGACTCCCAATCACGGACGGATTGTGATACAGCCTGGAATCGAACCAGGGTCTGTAGTGACGCCTCTAGCACTGAGATGCAGTATTCACCCCCCTTGGCATTTTTCCTATTTTGTTGCCTTACAACCTGGAATTTGTATCATTTGATTTACATAACATGCCTACCACATTTGAAGATGCAAAATATTATTTGGTGTGAAACAAAACAAGAAATAAGACAAAAAAACAGAACTTGAGCGTGCATAGCTATTCACCACCCAAAGTCAATACTTTGTAGAGCCACCTTTTGCAGCAATTACAGCTGCAAGTGTCTTGGGGTATGTCTCTATAAAGCTTGGCACATCTAGCCACTGGGATTTTTGCCCATTCTTCAAGGCCAAAACTGCTCCAGCTCCTTCAAGTTGGATGGGTTCCGCTGGTGTACAGCAATCTTTAAGTCATACCACAGATTCTCAATTGGATTGAGGTCTGGGCTTTGACTAGGCCATTCCAAGACATTTAAATGTTTCCCCTTAAACCACTCGAGTGTTGCTTTAGCGGTATGCTTAGGATCATTGTCCTGCTGGAAGGTGAACCTCCGTCCCAGTCTCAAATCTCTGGAAGACTGAAACAGGTTTCCCTCAAGAATTTCCCTGTATTTAGCGCCATCATCATTCCTTCAATTCTGACCAGTTTCCCAGTCCCTGCCGATGGGGAAAAATGGTGCCAGGTTTCCTCCAGACGTGACGCTTGGCATTCAGGTCAAAGAGTTCAATCTTGGTTTCATCAGACCAGATAATCTTGTTTCTCATGGTCTAAGAGTCTGGCTGTCATGTGCTTTTTACTGAGGAGTGGCTTCTGCAGAGGAACTCTGGAGCTCTTTCTGAGTGACCATCGGGTTCTTGGTCACCTCCCTGACCAAGGCCCTTCTCCCCCGATGGCCAGCTCTAAGAAGAGTCTTGGTGGTTCCAAACGTCTTCCATTTACGAATGATGGAGGCCACTGTGTTCTTGGGGACCTTCAATGCTGCAGACATTTTTTGGTACCCTTCCCCAGATCTGTGCCTCGACACAATCCTGTCTTGGCATTCTACTGACCTCATTGCTTGGTTTTTGCTCTGACATGCACTGTCGACTGTGGGACCTTATATAGACGAGTGTGTGCCTTTCCAAATCATGTCCAATCAATTGAATTGACCACAGGTGGACTCCAAGTTGAAGAAACATCTCAAGGATGATCAAAGGAAACGGGATTCGCTTGAGCTCAATTTCGTGTCTTATAGCAAAGGGTCTGAATACTTATGTAAATAAGGTATTTCTGTTTTTTACTTTCAATACATTTGCCAACTGTTTTTACTTTTTGTAATTATGTGTGTAGATGGGTGAGATTTTAAAAAAAATCCATTTTGAATTCAGGCTGTAACACACCAAAATGTGGAATAAGTCAAGGTGTATGAATAGGCGCTGCTTCTCTTGCTGCTTTTGCCCATTCACGTCACGGGCCTAGCCCGGTACACTGCGGCTCAGGTTAATCGAACTCCCTCAAGGACTGATAGTCCATGAGACCAACGTGATAGATATAGCGAAGCATATTATTTTAAAGCTGAAGCCTACAGAGTTTGTAAACAAACACTTTGTCTACAAACAAGTGTAAAACACCTTATTTTGGGTTATGATGGTAATTTATTATATAGTTGTCCTAAGCTGATTAGGCATTGATAAGTTCAAGAATCAATGGTTGTGTAATTAATTAAAATGGCAGTAAACAGGGCATAACTTAAAATTGTTGGTCCACCAGCCACTGTAGATTTAAAAATCTACCAGCCACTCAGATTTATTTACCAGCCAAAATATTTTTGGGGTGCTAAAATTACACCAACAAAACACAAACGGATGAGCATGTTTCTAAAACAATACATGTATTACTAGTAAGAAGTAATGTGGTATATTGTTTAATTACATTTGCTTTGTGACCTGAGTCTTTTAACCAAAATATCACAGATGAGACAAAAAATTAACCTGCTCCTTTCAGGGCGGAAGGTTACCGTGGTAGCGTGACTGGAGTCATGTTTGTGCCTGTGAGATTTGGTCTGACTAGACTAGAAGAAGCGTTGTCTTCTCTTCCCTAGCAGTTGAAACTCAAACATAGAAAAACAACCTAGCTTGTGAACAAAACAATGTAAATAGCCAAGAAACACAAGGACAAACTCTCACTTCAGTAGATAAAATGTTATGCCTGTGCGCAGCGCTTTTAAAAATGAATCTTTCACTCAGCTCTTTACATGCGCACAGCCCCCATAGGCTATTTAGGATTCGTAGTTTTTTTACTTTGTGCAATTTAATTTACCAGCTATGAAACAAAAGGGTAGAAATACTTTGAAAACAGCTATTGTAGCATTTGTTTTACTATAAATGTGATCATACTTGACTTTTTATTCACATGTTGCTCGCACTGTGAAGCCCTGACCACCCGCCAACGTGGCTGGTGAAATGGACATCTTACCAACCAATGCCAAAATCTACCCGCATTTGGCGGGTGTTTTTAATTTTAGGCCCTGGCAGTAAATATTGCAGATTGCGCTTTTAACAGTAGTGTGTATCTACAGGTTAGGAGGTCCTGATCCATTGGACTACATCAGTATGTACCGTAACATGGGCTGTGCAGCGCAGGACGTACAGGAACACTGGCACTACGTCAGCTTCGGACTCAGTGACCTGTATGGAGACAACAGAGTACATGAGTAAGTAGTACAGTACTTCAGGTTAGAGCTCTGGTGGACCAAGTTGCCCAGTTACTAACAACACACTGACACATGGTTTGTGCAGCTGTTGTTCACTTACTTTCACTCCTTTGTGTCATTCTGCAGAATCAGCATTGAGACACTAACACACTTTTTTTTTTCTTGTTCCTCTGAAACAGTTATTTCACACCAACAGTTTTCACCCCCTTGTTTGTAGTGTTCTTGAGTAGACTTGATAGCAGTGGTCTCCTGTAGCTCAGTTGGTAGAGCATGGCGCTTGCAATGCAAGGGATGTGGGTTCGATTCCCACGGGGGGCCAGTATGAGAAATGTATGCATTCACTAATTGTAAGTCGCTCTTGATCAGAGCGTCTGCTAAATGACTAAAATGCAAAATGTAATAGCTCTGCTCCCCGACAATTCCCAGAAATCTCCCTGTTTGCAATCTCCCCTTCAAACAGCTGTCATTCTAAATGCATGTTTTCATAACTTTGGAGTGTAACTGAATGGGTGGATTGAGTAATGAAAAGTAACTAAAGGAAAGGAGAATCTGTATTGGGTTTATGGTGTTGTGTTGACTCGCGGTCAATTAGGAGGGCCCAGGGTTTGGCTTTTTAACACACACAAACCTGAAGAGAGATGAGAGAGACAGCTTAAATTAAGTGTGGGCATTCCGTATGTGTATTGTCAGGTTTACAGGCCAGGAAGGCTCCAGTGGCTTTGGCTTTGAGCTGACGTTCAGGCTGAAGAGAGAGGTGGGAGAGACAGCGCCTCCTACTTGGCCGGCTGAACTCATGCAGGGCCTGGCCCGCTATGTCTTCCAATCAGGTAAGGACCCAGGCTCTGTGTGTCTCTAGTGTGGAGGGGATATGGTAGGTAGAGTAAGGTGAGGAGAAGGTAGTTGTTTGTCTATCAATTACAAGGCAGGCACTCAGGGCATTATGTATTCCCAACCGTTTTGTTACTTCACTACGCACCGCACAGAGGGCTCCGCTGCCTCTGCATGGACATGGAGCATGTCAGTATTTAACCTCATGTAACTCTGTCAGTGACGTTTCTCTAAGGAGAACACTTAGTGGAACTCAGCCCAATCATCCCCAGCTTCCCATAGGCTCTTTCAACCCTTCGCTTCTCCGCTACAACTTCCTCATGTAGCCTGTAAAAGAGAATGTGTTCTCATTCAGCTTACCTGTTAGGGCTAAATAGAAGAAAATGCGGACTAGAAGAGCATGTTATGTAATGTATGACCCCTGTGTTTTTAAAGACCTAGCCAGCTCTGTACGGTTCTTCTGGGATCTGGGGAATCTCAACAAGTCTAATTTCCCTTTCTCTCTCTGATGGGAGAAGTGTGTTAAACGTTGTCTTAGCTGAGAAACTTCCTAATCTTAACAGTATTGTCTTTACAGCTGTGGAAAACACGTTTCTCCCATTCTCACAGACCGTTCCTGGTGTGTGTGCCACTTTGTTAAGTCCTTTAAATAATCTAGCCGTGTGTAAAGATTACATTGAGGAGGGGAGGGTGGGAGTGTTTAAAAGCCAGTCTGGGAGGCAGAGAAGGAGGGGGGCCCATTCTCTCTAGGTTATTCTACCCCCATCTGCTAGGGGTGTAACGATTCATGTATTTGTTTCCAACCATTCGGGACAGGGATCTCAGTTCGGTCTGCACTGTGAAACCGAATGAATACATAAAAATATCTATATATACATTAAAACACTAGGCGTGTAGGTTATGCCTACGCTGCGTTGTATGCCTCTTGAGTAAATCTGAGCTGGAAAAAAACTAACTAGATCCTATGCGCATGTAATAATCAGAATTGTAATCTTAATTGGCGTATTTCAAACTTCCCCTTTGTGAGGTGCAGCCGGGAACTAGTTCTGTACGATGCCAAGTGGTGGGGTACTAAATAAACCAGGAGGATTCTCCATCTTTTAAATCTCCAGTTGGGGAACATTTTGGCTTCCCAGTAGATTACAACGGCGATGGACAGAGAGTATGTCGCCATTGCTCAACGAAATTAGCCTATGGAACTGCCAAAACCTCAAAAGATGTTGACACATTTTCACCGACAGCACCCCAGTATTCCTACCACCGGCACAAAAAAACAACACAATTTCGTCTCCGCTCTGCATTCAAGCAGCACTTAGCAGTTGATTCTGAGTGTGCCAAAGAAGTTAGAAGAGCGATATTTGTTTATAGCCGTGGATATGCGGCCATTCTTGTTGGTTGAGAACAATTAGGGTATTTCAGCTCCTTGTGAAAGTGCTCGAGCGACGTTACGAACTTCGCCCTCTCGCACCCATTTCAGCAAACCGGTAGTACCCACTCTATATAAGCAAGCTAAAGCTGAAGTTGTCAATGAATTGGCCACTGCACCCGGTGTTGCGCTTACTACAGATGGATGGAGCTCCAGGGCTACAGAGAGCTACTTAACAGTGACAGCCCATCACATTAACCCGGAATGGGAAATGAGAAGTATGTGCTACAACACGCCCCCTTTGAGAGTCACAAGTGCGCATATGTTTATCTTTGTAAGAAAACATTAAAGCATAGGCCTATACAAGATCTGACCTATGTTTACTTATTGATTTCACACGCATATTGCACTTTATTTTAGTGTTGAGAAATCGTGAATTCATTTAAGAAAATACAAAGTGTTTGTATTCCTGATTGTGCTCTCATTAGTCATTTTGACTCATGATCATATATGGAATCAGGAATACCTGACTTTGTATTTTCTTAAATAAGCAAAAATTAACTACAGTTACTGTTGGCATTTCATTTTCCCTCTGTACTGAAACCGAACCGTGATCCCAAAACCGCAATATGTACCAAACCGTGGGTTTGAACCGTAACCGCTTCACGAACCTGGCTTTCCTAAAATGGGAGCCTGGGGAAGTTCCATGGCAGAAATCAGCTAAAGTGGGGTTGGAACCCGGTGTAAATCAGTGACACCACGCAACACGTCAAACCAATCAAATGCCTTGCTTGGGCTTAGGAGCTACAGTGCGTGAGGACAGAACATTTCAACAAAACAAGCACTGGTGACATTTTTGCAGCACGCTGGTTTTCACAGCATTTCTGTTATTTCGAGATGAGCTAAAGCTGCAGCAAGAAGAGAGATATGGTCTACAATGCTGGCCATATCAATCTTTTTGAGGTTCACGTTTCTGAAGTGATATTTGGCTGTAAAGGCTAGTATGAGGGACAAGAAGTAGCTAGCCACAATGATGTTAGTTTTGAGAAAAGTCAGCTAACCTTGTTAGCTACCTAGGTATAACTAACTAACTAACTAGCTAATAGCTAGTTCAATTTCTCTCAGGATTATAAAGCACACAACATTTTGATTAAAAACAGCATATTATTGACCTAAAAGGTTAGCTGTGTTAGCCCAGTCTCTAACTTATCCAGGGTCAGTGATACATAGAACAAACATGCACTGTCTATCTATGGGAACCACTGCAAATTTTGCAAGCAACATTGCTAAAATGAATTAAATAAAATTAACGTCAAAAATACCTGTAATGCTCATCTTGTGTAGCCAAATTGTCGTCATCTTATTTTCGTAGTGTACCTAAATTACAAGTGTTGGATTTGCACTAACAATTTTAGGTCAGTACCTAAAAGGAATGTACAAAATCTGGTATATGGTTTGCCTCATACATCGTCTACTGGTATCATTTTAAATTGAGAACATATACACTACCGGTTAAAAGTTTTAGAACACCTACTCATTCAAGGGTTTTTCTTTATTTTTACTATTTTCTACATTGTAGAATAATAGTGAAGACATCAAAACTATGACATAACACATATGGAATCATGTAGTAACCAAAAAAGTGTTAAACAAATCAAAATATTTGAGATTCTTCAAATAGCCACCCTTTGCCTTGATGACAGCTTTGCACACTCTTGGCATTCTCTCAACCAGCTTCATGAGGTAGTCACCTGGAATGCATTTAAATTAACGGGTGTGCTTTGTTGAAAGTTAACTTGTGGAATTTCTTTCCTCCTTAATGCGTTTGAGCCAATCAGTTGTGTTGTGACAAGGTAGGGGGAGTATACAGAAAATAGCCCTATTTGGTATAAGACCAAGTCCATATTATGGCAAGAACAGCTCAAATAAGCAAAGAGAAACAACAGTCCATCATTACTTTAAGACATGAAGGTCAGTCAATATGGAACATTTCAAGAACATTGAAAGTTTCTTCAAGTACAGTCACAAAAACCATCAAGTACTATGATGAAACTGGCTCTCATGAGGACCGCCACAGGATTGTAAGACCCAGAGTTACCTCTGCTGCAGAGGATAAGTTAATTAGAGAGTTACCAGCCTCAGAAATTGCAGCCCAAATAAATGCTTCACAGAGTTCAAGTAACAGACACATCTCAACATCAACTGTTCAGAGGAGAATCAGGCCATCATGGTCGAATTGCTGCAAAGAAACCACTACTAAAGGACACCAATAAGAAGAAGAGACTTGCTTGGGCCAAGAAACACGAGCAATGGACATTAGACCCGAGGAAATTTGTCCTTTGGTCTGGAGTCCAATTTGGAGATTTTGGTTCCAACCACCGTGTCTTTGTGAGATGCGGTGTGGGTGAACGGATGATCTCTGCATGCGTATTTCCCACCGTAAAGCATGGAGGAGGTGGTGTTATGGTGTGGGGGTGCTTTGCTGTTGATTTATTTCGAATTCAAGGCACACTTAACCAGCATGGCTGCCACAGCATTCTGCAGCGATACGCCATCCCATCTGGTTTGGGCTTAGGGGGACTATCATTTGTTTTTCAACAGGACAATGACCCAACACACCTCCAGGCTGTGTAAGGGCTATTTTACCAAGAAGGAGAGTGATGGAGTGCTGCATCATATGACCTGGCCTCCACAATCACCCAACCTCAACCCAGTTGAGATGGTATGGGATGAGTTGGACCGCAGAGTGAAGGAAAAGCAGCCAACAAGTGCTCAGCATATGTGGGAACTCCTTCAAGACTGTTGGAAAAGCATTCCAGGTGAAGCTGGTTGAGAGAATGCCAAGAGTGTGCAAAGCTGTCATCAAAGCAAAGGGTGGCTATTTTAAAAATCTCAAATATTTTAAGATTTTTTTTTAAACACTTTTTTGGTTACTACATGATTCCATATGTGTTATTTCATAGTTTTGATGTCGTCACTATTATTCTACAATGTAAAAAATAAAGAAAAACCCTTGAATGAGTAGGTGTTCTAAAACATTTGAACTGGTAGTGTAGCTCAACATGTAAACGATGAGTTTAGCTATTCTGTGCTTCAGATGACATTTGCCTGTAAGACCAGTAATGCCATCATACTCTAGGCCTATGGCTGCATTGGTGATACATGCCATATGATAAGCTGCAAAATCGATTCACACAGCTGATTATATTGAGAGAGCGTGACAATCAAATTTAAACAGATTGGCTGTGATATTGTAATTGTAAGATCTCCAATCACAACACTGGCGGCTAAGTAATACTGTCAAACACTATCATTCCACTTTTAGCAGCAGATATATTATGGAAATTTTCTGAAATTACAATGCAAATATGCAAAAACAAATCCTGTGTTGCACCTTTTTAGAAATGCATTTACTTGCTTGAATAGGGTCTCCCAATGCCTCCGGTTTTTTGGTTTCCTTACAAAAACAAAATATTGGGCGATCTTCACAGTTTAGAACGTGTTGTGACGTTTGACTTTACCAGCGTAATCCACTTTCAATTTCAATAAATATGAATCGCAGACTGTCAGCCACACTTGACAACTTGAAAACTAGCACTTCAAACTAGCACAGGCAACAATTACCCGGACTTAAAACTTTGACAAACATAACACAGCGCCCGTTCTACGGGCGTGTGGGGGAGGGTTCTTGAAATGTAACGTCCAATCAAAATCTTGCTGCGGTGAGCCAGCAGACTATTCAAACCGTTTTTGCAATACAACATTCTCCAGACCTCAAAGGGAAGCATAACAATGACATGATTTTAGAGGTATGGCAATTCGAGACAAGGTGAACCGTTACACCCCTACTGTCTGCTCTTCAGCTGGGGTCAATTTAAACGTGGGTCCTGCACTGGATGGATGAATACTCGGTCCCTGGCCCTCCTTCCTATACTGCTTTTCCTCCCCCTCTCTTTTCCAGTATATCTGGACTAGGTACCTGTTGCCTCCCAAGCAGATGGATTCCTCTGGATCGCTTACTCGCGCTCTCCCCCTCTCATTGCCTTTCTCTTCAATTTCTCTCTCCCTTCTCAATTGATCTCTCACACATATACACACTCCCTTTTTTCTCTCACTCTTTCACTTGACTTTCTCATTTGCTCTTAGACTAGTGCTGAGAAAACGTATGTCTGTTCTTGGGCCGGGACGATACCAGTATCGCAATATTTATCCATGGCAAAACATTAGGACTGTTTTCCTAAAGAAGTTAAATCCACTTTGTTTTGTTTCCTTGCCACGATACTAACGAGGATCGCAATACTGGTATTATCCCGGCCCTAGTATTTTCCAATATATCACTGAGTAGTCTTTCACCTCCATGTCTCTCCTCTGTCCTGTAGAAAACACGTTTTGCAGTGGAGACCACATATCGTGGCACAGTCCCCTGGACAACAGTGAGTCTCGTATCCAACACATGCTGCTCACTGAAGACCCCCAGATGACACCGGTCCACACCCCCTTCGGCCTGGTCAACTTCCTGCAGGTGAGCTAATCTAGCCCCAGGCTCTCCGGCCTACCCTCTCAACTCCCTCCTTTCAGTCTATAATAGCATGATGTCTGTCCCCTCATCTGTGCGTGTGTTCTTTTACCCTTTCTTTCTTACTCCCCCTTTTTTTTTGGTAACTCCCTGTCCTCTCTATATAGATTGTGGGTGTGTGTACAGAAGAGTTGCAGGCGGCCCAGCAGTGGAACGGCCAAGGAATACTGGAGCTGCTCCGAGGGGTCCATGTGTGAGTTTGAAATATGAGATACACTACATGAGCAAATGTATGTGGACACTTGCTTGTCGAACATCTCATGCCAAAATCATGGGCATTAATATGGAGTTGGTCCCCCTTTTGCTGCTATAACAGCCTCCACTCTTCTGGGAAGGCTTTTCACTAGATGTTGGAACATTGCTGCGGGGACTTGCTTCCATTCAGCCACGAGCATTAGTGAGGTTGGGCACTGATGTTGGGTGATTTAGGCCTTGCTCGCAGTCTGCGTTCCAATTCATCCCGAAGGTGTTCGATGGGGTTGAGATCAGGGCTTTGTGCAGGCCAGTCAATTTCTTTCACACCGATTTCGACAAACCATTTCTGTATGGACCTCGCTTGTGCACGGGGGCATTGTCATGCTGAAATAGGAAAGGGCCTTCCCCAAACTTGCCACAAAGTTGGAAGCACAGAATCGTCTAGAATGTCATTGTATGCTGTAGCATTAAGATTTCGCTTCACTGGAACTAAGGGGCCTAGCCCAAAACCATGAAAAACAGCCCCAAACCATTATTCCTCCTCCACCAAACTTTACAGTTGGCACTATGCATTGGGGCAGGTAGCGTTCTCCTGGCATCCGCCAAACCCAGATTCGTCCGTCGGACTGCCAGATGATGAAGTGTGATTAATCACTCCAGAGAACGCGTTTCCACTGCTCCAGAGTCCAATGGCGGCGAGCTTTACACCACTCCAGCCGACGCTTGGCATTGCGCATGGTGATCTTAGGCTTGTGTGCGGCTGCTCAGCTATGGAAACCCATTTCATGAAGCTCCCGACACAGTTATTGTGCTGACGTTGCTTCCAGAGGCAGTTTGGAACTCAGTAGTGAGTGTTGCAACCGAGGACAGATGATTTTTACGCTCTTCAGCACTCGGCGGTCCCATTTTGTGAGCTTGTGTGGCCTACCACTTCGCGGCTGAGCCGTTGTTGCTCCTAGACGTTTCCACTTCACAATAACAGCACTTACAGTTGACCGGGGCAGCTCTAGCAGGGCAGAAATTTGACAAACTGACTTGTTGGAAGGGTGGCATCCTATGATGGTGCCACATTGAAAGTCACTGAGCTATTCAGTAAGGCCAATGTTTGTCTATGGAGATTGCATGGCTGTGTGCTCGATTTTATACACCTCTCAGCAACGGGTATATTTTGTATATTTAGTGTACCTCCCTGCCAGTCTACCAGTCTTATTTCACATCAACTTTAACCCAGTGTGACCAAGTCCATGTTAACCCTATGTTAATGATTATATTTTCCCCTCCATGCTATCTGTGTTTAGTGCTGGAGGGCCCTGGTTGATAACTGACATGAGGAGAGGAGAGACTATCTTTGACATCGACCCTCATTTACAAGTAAGGCTTTGATTAGTTACTGTATTCTCATTCAAATTGTATTCTCATTCAAACAGCTCCACCTACTGGTTCAGTCCCCACAATGTGTGTGTCTTTGCTAGTGTTAATGTGTGTGGGCTAGTGTTAATGTTTGCGTGTGTTTGCTCATCCTAAGCAGGAGCGTGTGGACCAGGGTATAGAGACCGAGGGCTCCAACCTGAGCGGCGTGAGCGCCAAGTGTGTGTGGGACGACCTCAGCCGACCGCCCGAGGACGAAGAGGACAGCCGCTCCATCTGTATAGGATCTCAACCACGAAGACTGTCGGAAAAAGGTAACACACACACACACCTAACCTACAGTGCCTTCAGAAAGTATTCGCACCCCTTGACTTTTTCCACATTTTGTTATAACAGCCTGAATTTAAAATGGATTCAATTGAGATTTTGTGTCACATAACATTGAATATCCCTTTGAGCATGGTGAAGTTAGTAATTTCACTTTGGATGGTGTATCAATACACCCAGTCACTACAAAGATTCAGGCGTCCTTCCTAACTCCTAATGTTTGGTGCAAATCCAATACAGCACATTACTGAGGACCACTCTCCATATTTTCAAGCATAGTGGTTGCTGCATCATGTTATGGCTATGCTTGTAATCGTTCAGGCCTGGGGAGTTTTTCAGGATAAAAAAAAAACTGAATGGAGCTAAGCACAGGCAAAATCTTAAAGGAAAACCTGGTTTAAGTCTGCTTTCCACCAGACACTGGGAGATGAATTCCCCTTCCAGCAGGACAATAACCTAAAACACAAGGCCAAATATACACTGGAGTTGCTTACCAAGACGACATTAAATGTTCCTGAGTGGTTTAGTTAGTTTTGACTTAAATCGGCTTGAAAATCTATTGCAAGACTTGAAAATATTGTACACTCCATGTGTGCAAAGCTCTTAGACTTAACCAGAAAGACTAACAAGACAAGGCGATTCTAACATGTATTGACTCAGGGATGTGAATACTTTATGTAAATTAGGTATTTCTGTATTTCATTTTCAGTACATTTGCAAACATTTCTAAACATGTTTTCACTTTCATTATGGTGTATTGTGTAGATGTGTAAGGAAGAATTCAGGCTGGAACGCAACAAAATGAGAAATAAGTCAAGGGGTATGACTACTTTCTGAAGGCACTAGACACTTCTAATGGGCTCTCGTAGATCTGACATGCGTTGTGTTCAATAGGCACCAAATGTAAGAAAACAGATTGAAACAGGGAGGTACCTCCTGGACTTGTCCAATTTAGAACCGCTCCTATTTGTTTTCTGTTGCAAAACTATTTAAAACATTTTTTTGTGTGCAATATTGAACACTACCAAGATAAATGTAAGCAATAGGGTGAATGAAGTCGTTACTGAGTAGTTTTGTGTCCTAATGTTATTGTATGTCCCAAAACTAACCCAATGGTTTTGTCCCCTGCAGATACAGAGCAGATCAGAGAAGCCCTGAGAAAAGGACTGGAGTTCAACCCTAAAGCAGCACTACCCCCTATCAACTCACAGAGACAAGGACATGACAGGCCTCAGTGAGTACATACACACACAGTTAAGCTTTTCTTTACTCACTTTCCCACTCCAAATTTTCATTCTGAGTCAGCATTGAGACACGCACTCCTCTCGTGTTTTTTCTTTCCTCTCAAGCAGTGATGTCACACCAACAGCGTTCACCCCCTCCTTTTTAGTGTTCTCTAGAGTAGACTCACCGTACACACCCATACCCCTCCCTTTAACCCAGCCAGAGACAGAGCCATGAAACCCCAGTGAGTACAAAGTACTGGGACATTGAACACATGATAGGTGTATGATATTGTATGTGGTACCATTCTTCCCCTGGTTTCTCCATAGACAAACAATGGGCCATTTGCAGAGCCAGCAGTATCACAGGTAAGAGAAACATGAGAGATGAGGGGCAAGGTTGTTACAAACCATAGCAAACTCATTCACACACTTTATAAGGAGATACAGGCCACCACCAGACTTGATGTTTCCCCTGTACTTAAGTGGTCATTTGAATCTCTCTGACTCTCCTTCTCTAGGAGTCGTAAGGACAGTCTGGAGAGTGAGAGTTCAGCGACCATCGTTCCTCACGAGCTAGTTCGTACCAGACAACTGGAGAGTGTTCATCTGAAATTCAACCAGGAGTCAGGAACACTGCTGCCCCTCTGTCTCAGGTATGCGCGCGCACACACACACGCTGGAGTTGGGGATGAGCCTGGGTCTTCCCACACACAGCCATTACATAAAACAAGACTAGGGTCATCTGACAGAGAGCCCTTTGTATGTGAAAGGGGGAGAGATAGGGGGCTGAGAGAGACAGAGGGTGAGAAGAAGCAGGTTCTCTAACCCAGCAGACGTCTTCCATACAGTACGTATTCAGTGATGTTTAATGATTGTTGTGCTGGTCGTATTCTGTGCTTAGGGGTCGTTTGCTCCATGGTAGACACTTCACCTATAAGAGTATAAATGGAGACACAGCCATCACCTTCGTCTCCACTGGAGTAGAGGGGGCCTTTGCTACTGAGGAACACCCGTATGCCGCACATGGACCCTGGTTACAGGTACACACACCCTGGCTCCTGATACACACACAAGCTGCTTCAAGTGCATACTTGCTGCATGTGTTTACTGCATGTACTTATGTTACCATATCTCCTCCAGATATTGCTGACTGAGGAGTTTGTTGAACAGATGCTTGGAGATCTATCGGAGCTCAACACTCGAGAGGAGGTGAGGGGAAACACCTTTTACCATTCTTTACAGTCGTAACATAAAGAATGGACTGGCTGTGGATCTGAGTGTTCTGGAAACCTCTTCCTGACAGCTAAAGGTTTGAAGCACCTGTGCATGTGTGGGATTCTATGCTTTACGCAATCTCTGTTCTACTCGTTTGGCTACCCAGAGAACAGGCTACACTGGCGAATTTCAGTGATGAATGGTGCTCGTGTAATAAAGTTAGATCAAAGCTGAATCAATGTCTGCAAGATCAGGTAATGAACTGAACAGAACTGAATATAATGGCATATAACATTACTGTAAGACAAACACCACTTAATTTCTTATGAGATTTTAGGATGATTGTGCGAATGGTCGCATTTTTCTTTTGTGGCCAAAACTCAACAGCGCACGCCACTAGGCAAAATATGTGTTTTGATAAAAATACAAATAAAACACAGGTGTTTCATACCGACCTTGTACCATCCTGGGATATTCAGTAATACCGGCACTGAACACAAGGGGCGCTATTTTCAATCCGATGGTTAGTAATGCTAACAAGTACAAGTAAAATCCCATAGCGAATAATAACGAGCGCATGCGAACATTTTATACAGTCTCTGACATCCTAGCTCATAAAGTTATACAAGTAACTAAAAAATGCTACTCACAATTTGCTGCATGCACAAAACAAATATTAGAAAGCAAAGGCTCTTGATCCAGGAGGGATTCTCTGCTGTTACCAAGAGGGGCATGATTGCAAGAAGCTAACCATTATCACAACTGCAGAGCATCTTAGACTTTTAACTTAATAATTAAGATGTCTAACTGGCAAACATTTAGTTGTGAATTCCATACTGTAACTAGATCAGTATGTGCTGCACAACAGTGATTTACTAACAAGGCTCCGGTCTCTCGTCGTCTGCTTGTAAACAAACAACCATGTGACTGGGGACTACTGGTAAGCTTCATAATGTATAATAATTTGCCAGGTGAAATGAAGAACGTGATTTGCTTTATCTCCTAACGTATTGCACAGGTTGACTGCAGGTTTTTACTTAGCTAAAAATATTCAAATGTATATAATAAAAAAACTTCCAAGAAATATACTGAACAAAAACATAAATGCAACATACAACAATTTCAACGTTTTTCCTGACTTACAGTTCATAAAGGAAATCAGTCAATTGAAATAAATTCCTTAGGCCCTAATCTATGGATTTTACATGACTGGGCAGAAGTGCACCATGGGTGGGCCTGGGAGGGCATAGGCCCACCCATTTAGGAGCCAGACCCTCCCACTGTGGAGCCAGGCCCAGCCAATCAGAATGAGTCTTTCCTGTCAAAGGGACATTATTACAGACACAGATACTCCTCAGTTTCATCAGCTGTCCGGGTGGCTGGTTTCAGATGATCCTGCAGGTGAAGAAGCTGGATGTGGAGGTCCTGGGCTGGTGTGGTTACACATGGTCTGTGGTTGTGAGGCCAGTTGGATGCACTTCCAAATGTTCTAAAATGATGTTGGAGGCGGCTTATGGTAGAGAAATGTACATTACATTTTCTGGCAACAGCTCTGGTGGACATTCCTGCAGTCGGCATGCCAATTCCACGCTCCCTCAAAACTTCAGACATTTGTGGCATTGTGTTGTGTGACAAAACTGCACATTTTTGTTGCTGGCACAAGGTGTACCTGTTTAATGCTATTGCTGTTTAATCAGCTTCTTGATATGCCACCTGTCAGGTGGATGGATTATTTTGGTGAAGGAGACTTTTTCACTGACAGGGATGTAAACAGAATTTGCACAAATGAGAGAATTAAGCTTTTTGTGCATATGGAAAAATTCTGCTAATTTATTTCAGCTCATGAAAGATGGGACCAACACTTTACATGTTGCATATATATTTTGTTTCAGTATAGTTTCAATGGTATTGATGGGATTAAAATTGATTTAATTTTCTCTTTTTGTCAACAATCTACACAAAATACTCTGACAAAGTGGAAGAAAAATTCTAACATTTCGTAAAGATTAATGAAAAATAAAACTAATATACGTTACATGACCAAAAGTATGTGGACACTTGCTCGTCGAACATCTCATTCCAAAATCATGGGCATTAATATGGAGTTGGTCCCCCCTTTCCTGCTGTAACAGCCTCCAATCTTCTGGGAAGGCTTCCCACTAGATGTTGGAACATTGCTGCGGGGGACTTGCTTCCATTCAGTCACTAGCAATAGTGAGGTTGGGCACTGATGTTGGGCGATTAGGCCTGGCTCTCAGTCGGCGTTCCAACTCATCCCGAAGGTGTTCGATGGGGTTGAGGTCAGGGCTCTGTGCAGGCCAGTCAAGTTCTTCCACACTGATCTCGACAAACCATTTCTGTATGGACCTCAATTTGTGCACGGGGGCATTGTCATGCTGAAACAGGAAAGGGCTTTCCCAAAACTTTTGCCACAAAGTTGGAAGCACAGAATCGTCTAGAATGTCATTGTATGCTGTAGCATTAAGATCTCTCTTCACTCCACTAAACTTTACAGTTGGCACTATGCATTGGGGCAGGTAACGTTCTCCTGGCATCCGCCAAACCCAGATTTGTCCGTCGGACTGCCAGATGGTGAAGCGTGATTAATCACTCCAGAGAATGCGTTTCCACTGCTCCAGAGTCCAATGGCGGCGAGCTTTAGACCACTCCAGCCCACACTTGGCATTGCACATGCTGATCTTAGGCTTGTGTGCGGCTGCTCGGCCATGGAAACGCATTTCTTGAAGCTCCCGATGAACAGTTCTTGTGCTGAAGTTGCTTGTGTGGCCTACCACTTCGCGGCTGAGCCATTGTTTCTCCTAGACGATACCACTTCACAATAACAACACTTACAGTTGACTGGGGAAGCTCTAGCAGGGCAGACATTTGAATCCACTAACTTGAAGGGGTGTCCACATACTTTTGTATACAGTGAGGGGAAAAAAGTATTTGATCCCCTGCTGATTTTGTACGTTTGCCCACTGACAAAGACATGATCAGTCTATACTTTTAATGGTAGGTTTATTTGAACAGTGAGAGACAGAATAACAACAACAAAAATCCAGAAAAACGCATGTCAAAAATGTTATAAATTGATTTGCATTTTAATGAGGGAAAATTAGTATTTGACCCCTCTGCAAAACATGACTTAGTACTTGGTGGCAAAACCCTTGTTGGCAATCAGAGGTCAGACGTTTCTTGTAGTTGGCCACCAGGTTTGCACACATCTCAGGAGGGATTTTGTCCCACTGACTTTTGGCAACTCGAACCTTCAGCTCCCTCCACAGATTTTCTATGGGATTAAGGTCTGGAGACTGGCTAGGCCACACCAGGACCTTAATGTGCTTCTTCTTGAGCCACTCCTTTGTTGCCTTGGCCGTGTGTTTTGGGTCATTGTCATGCCGGAATACCCATCCACTACCCATTTTCAATGCCCTGGCTGAGGGAAGGAGGTTCTCACTACAAGATTTGACGGTACATGGCCCCGTCCATCGTCCCTTTGATGCGGTGAAGTTGTCCTGTCCCCTTAGCAGAAAAACACCCCCAAAGCATAATGTTTCCACCTCTATGTTTGACGGTGGGGATGGTGTTCTTGGGGTCATAGGCAGCATTCTTCCTCCAAACACGGCGAGTTGAGTTGATGCCAAAGAGCTCGCTTTTGGTCTCATCTGACCACAACAGTTTCACCCAGTTCTCCTCTGAATCATTCAGATGTTCATTGGCAAACTTCAGACGGGCCTGTATATGTGCTTTCTTGAGCAGGGGGACCTTGCGGGCACTGCAGGATTTCAGTCCTTCACGGCGTAGTGTGTTACCAATTGTTTTCTTGGTGACTATGGTCCCAGCTGGCTTGAGATCATTGACAAGATCGTCTCGTGTAGTTCTGGGCTGATTCCTCACTGTTCTCATGATCATTGCAACTCCACGAGGTGAGATCTTGCATGGAGCCCCAGGCCGAGGGAGATTGACAGTTATTTTGTTTCTTCCATTTGCGAAGAATCGCACCAACTGTTGTCACTTTCTCACCAAGCTGCTTGTCGATGGTCTTGTAGCCCATTCCAGCCTTGTGTAGGTCTACAATCTTGTCCCTGACATCTTTGGAGAGCTCTTTGATCTTGGCCATGGTGGAGAGTTTGGAATCTGATTGATTGTTTGCGTCTGTGGACAGGTGTCTTTTATACAGGTAACAAACTGAGATTAGGAGCACTCCCTTTAAGAGTGTGCTCCTAATCTCAGCACATTGCCTGTATAAAAGACACCTGGGAGCCAGAAATCTTTCTAATTGAGAGGGGTTCTAATACTTATTTCCCTCATTAAAATGCAAATCAATTTATAACATTTTTGACATGTGTTTTTCTGGATTTTCTTGTTGTTATTCTGTCTCTCACTGTTCAAATAAACCTACCATTAAAATTATAGACTGATCATTTCTTTGTCAGTGGGCAAACGTACAAAATCAGCAGGGGATCAAATACTTTTTTTCCCTCACTGTATGGAGTATTTTGGTTAGATCAGTGATCTATTTCAGTCCCACTTTGTAATGCAACAAAATGTGAAAAGATCTTTGGGGTGAATACTTATGATACCCACTAACTCGAAGATCTAAATGCTTATTCCCATTAAACCGATTCAGATAAAATGGTTGTTATGCAGATGCTGCATGGATGTTTCACCGGTAAAACTTGAAGAACTATCATTCACCATTGACAGTTAGTTAGAAATGTATAGTGGGGGTGACCAAAAATGTGTGCATAAAGAGGTAAAGAAACGCATGCGCAGAACGTGATTCAGATCTTTGGCTCTGAGGAAGGCTTCCAGGGGTGCAATGGGGAGGTTACCTACGGATCCTCAGCCTATAAAGAAGCTGTTAGGTAATCCTGTAATATTACTTTTGCAAAATTCCAGAAAAGTTCCTAGATTTTTCAGAAATCCTGGTTGGAGGATACACAGAGTAAGCAGGGAGGTGAAAAACCCGGCAAAGTTTACAGAGTTTAACTCCATGTTCTGTATCTGTCATTAAATGTTTTTCTCCTGTTTGATTCCTCCTTCCAGACCAAGTTACCGAAGGAATACAGCTGGCCAGAGAAGAAACTGAAGATCTCGGTCCTGCCTGACTCTGTGTTCGACAGCCCTCTGCAGTGAGAATGGGACCCACTCCTCTCTTCAGAATACTCTGGACCTGTTCACCTTTTAAATGGGTTATGTTTATTAGGCCACATCGTAGCAAAGCGTTTCGCAACAGAAGGCAAAAACACTTTTTTTTTTCAGATAGTACCTCCTGTAAGTTATCTTCCGTTTTACTGAACACAACCATGCTCTGGTCTGCCTTCTATCACCAGGGTGAGAACACCTGACCTAGCTACTGCAGGAACTCTTTCTGTCACATCTGCCTTTGACTGTAGACTGTTACTGCCTTTTCCGACCTACCCACCTTTCTACTGGTTTTTCAAACCTTTTAGATATGTCTGGAGATGTTCCGGAAACCTGTTTCTCCAGATAGCTGCCTTGCTAGATGAGACATAGTCACCATGTCTTGTGAATGGGTCAAATGTCTAGTTAGGATGTGACATCCACTAGACTCAAGAAGTTTGTAGCACAGGCGAAGATGCAGGGTCAGTTGGTTTAGTTTAAGGATCTTGTTCTTTGGCTTTCTAGGGCCACATTCCATTTTAAGTGTTCTCTTTAAAAGTAGGCCCCTGGGCAAGAAAAGTTTGACCCTTGGCATAGGCTTTCATTTGGGATGCAGACTCTGAAAATCAATCAAACCACATAATCCTCTCATTCTATTGTTTCCTCCGTCAAATCTTTGTCCCCCGGTGCCAGGAGCCTGATTATTTTATAGAGTAATATTTTGTTTATGTACTGTTTTACCCTATTCTATAACTTTCTCATGAAATGTATCTCTGAAGCTCTACAATGACTGTTAACTACTATTAGAGGAAAGATTTGTGTTTGTAAGAGTTTATAGGCCTGTGAGAGAGTGAAATGTTGGAAAGCGTTTCAGAGAACTCCCCATGTGTCCACAAATAAAGTTAGTGACATTTTCACTGATGAACAGTTACTGTATTGTGTTCTTGTCCTTACTTGGATCACAGTTCTGTTGATAGAACTGCCTCCTCTGTGTTTTTAGGAAGCCAATAGAACTTGTCAGAGCCTAGGTCCACCACATTTTTTATCACTACTTTCTTCATGGAAACTCATTCTTTCCTTCACTGTCACAATGCGTGTCCTCAACTGTTGCATAAATGTATTCATGTGTTGTTTTTTATAGTTGAAATCCCTCTCGACTCCTTCCCTTTTGTGTCAGTGACAGGTCACGTGATCGGCATGAAGGCTCTGCGGTATTCAGAGTTGCATCCTGAGTGTGAGTGTGTTACATTCCTCTCATCCGGAGAGATCGATATAAAGAAAGAACAGCCTAAACTATTGTAGAGATGGGACTAGAATAAAGCGCAGAGCAAACAGACAGTCGAAGGACATGGACACCTAAAGAAATGCTTTCTCTGTGGTGAAACCGTTTGACATTTTCTGCTTTTCTGGACTAAAGCGTTTTGTCCATAAAGAGATGGTAAATACATAGGAACGTTGCTTTTTTTATTCTTGGAGGCAAGCAAGATGGCTGGTGATGACAACGGTGGCGTCGCTTTTAAAACCAAATTAAATGGATTTTATGCGAATTAGGTATAAACAAATACAATCCTGGACATCTTGTAACTATTTTAGGAAAGCTGATACAGTACACAGTGTGTGTTAGGTTTAGTGTGTTAAATTGTAACCGTTTGGCAGTGACAGTTACAATGTGTTTTTGTTTGCTTGATTGCCTTAACTTTCTTGCAAGGGAATTCATGAATATATTTGCTGTCACTTTTGCTCCCCATATCTGCGTCTGCAAAGAGCTTTTACAATTCATACTTGTTAGAGAAACGTCAAACGTATTTGACTATACTACAGCCTTCTATTTATTTCAGCTAGCTAAAGCTTTTATTGCAAGAATGGAACCTGATACATGATATTTCCATAGGGAAAGTGAAACAAAGGCACCTTTTTGCTTTTCTCCCCTTAGAGACATTTGGTGGACCGGTTGTTTTGAGAGTAGACTGACTATGCACTTTGACTAACTTCTGTCAGCTCTCTTTCTGTCTACAGATTGGCATCACATTGATATAGCTGCATTTAAAAATACTGTCAGCCCCGCCCCCTTTAGCATTCCCATGTAATTCCAATCTATGTCCTTGTCATTCATTGCCAAGTGTGTCGAAATGATTGCGAAGAAATGATTGCGAAGTAACATAATTCATTCTGGATGTATCTGAGTTTTTCTTTTGTAAAAGCAAATATCAGTTAACATTGTCTACTAGACCTATTCGCCAATGCTTTGACAGGGTTTTATCAGGAAAAACTAGTAATTCTTTGTCAGGAACTTCGCTTGCGATTATTCTTCAACATTGGATGGATGCATGCTTTCAATTTATTGATGTCTAATGATTTTACTTTCTGCTGTGGATTATAATTGCTCTTAACTGCTTCTAAGGAACTTTGAGTGGAGAAAACGAACAGTTTGTCTATGTTTACCAACTATTTTTCCCAGTGTCCTTATTTAACGGTATTGGTTCGATAAAACATGTTTGTGTGTTGAGTAACTGTTTAATAGAGACCTGAAAAATTCAAAATCAACAATATTTCAATTAGGTCTATCTCAGAGGACACACTTTGGACTAAGATAACGAATCTTAGCAGGATACCTTGTACCAATCAATTAATTTGGGAATCCTAACATAGATTTGGGGGATTTAAAGTATCTTCACCATGGCTGCTGAAAGCTGGAAGAACTGTTTAGAAGAGGAGCTGATCTGCCCCATCTGTCTCCATGTGTTCACTGAACCCATCCAGCTTCCGTGAAAACACAACTTCTGCCGCGGCTGCATCCCTGAGGCCTGGACTAAAGACTGCCACGGTCCACTGTATCATCCCCACTGATAGTTAGGATAAGGGATATCATCTGATCCTAGATCTGTGTGGTTGGAGGCAAGTAGGCAGTCTAAGCAATCAATTCAGAGTTTAATAAGTTCAGTTTACATCTGTTTACCTCCCCGTTCTCTGCAGGTGTAGATGCTGGCTAATAGGATCATTTGTATTTATTATGCCAAGGCAGCAGCTACTCTTCCAGCAAAATTAAGGCAGTTATACACTACTGGTCAAAAGTCTTAGAACACCTACTCATTCAAGGGTTTTTCTTTATTTTTACTATTTTCTACATTGTAGAATAATAGTGAAGACCTCAAAACTATGAAATAACACATATGGAATCATGTAGTAACCAAAAAAGTGTTAAACAAATCAAAATGTATTTGAGATTCTTCAAATAGCCACCCTTTGCCTTGATGACAGCTTTGCACACTCTTGGCATTCTCTCACCCAGCTTCACCTGGAATGCTTTTCCAACAGTCTTGAAGGAGTTCCCACATATGCTGAGCACTTGTTGGCTGCTTTTCCTTCACTCTGCGGTCCAACTCATCCCATACCATCTCAATTGGGTTGAGGTTGGGTGATTGTGGAGGCCAGGTCATCTGATGCAGCACTCCATCACTCTCCTTCTTGGTAAAATAGCCCTTACACAGCCTGGAGGTGTGTTGGGTCATTGTCCTGTTGAAAAACAAATGATAGTCCCACTAAGTCCAAACCAGATGGGATGGCGTATCGCTGCAGAATGCTGTTGTAGCCATGCTGGTTAAGTGTGCCTTGGAATTCTAAATAAATCACAGTGTCAACAGCAAAGCACCACCACACCATAACACCACCACCTCCATGCTTTACGGTGGGAAATACACATGCAGAGATAATCCGTTCACCCACTCCGCGTCTCACAAAGACACGGTGGTTGGAACCAAAAATCTCCAATTTGGACTCCAGACCAAAGGACAAATTTCCTCCGGTCTAATGTCCATTGCTCGTGTTTCTTGGCCCAAGCAAGTCTCTTCTTCTTATTGGTGTCCTTTAGTAGTGGTTTCTTTGCAGCAATTCGACCATGATGGCCTGATTCTCCTCTGAACAGTTGATGTGTCTGTTACTTGAACTCTGTGAAGCATTTATTTGGGCTGCAATTTCTGAGGCTGGTAACTCTCTAATTAACTTATCCTCTGCAGCAGAGGTAACTCTGTGTCTTCCTTTCCTGTGGCGGTCCTCATGAGAGGCAGTTTCATCATAGCGCTTGATGGTATTTGCAACTGCACTTGAAGAAACGTTCAAAGTTCTTGAAATGTTCCGTATTGACTGACCGTCATGTCTTAAAGTAATGATGGACTGTCATTTGTCTTTGCTTATTTGAGCTGTTCTTACCATAATATGGACTTAGTAATTTACCAAATAGGGCTATCTTCTGTATACCCCCCCTACCTTGTCACACCACACCTGATTGGCTCAAACGCATTAAGAAGGAAATAAATTCCACAAATTAACTTTTAACAACGCACACCTGTTAATTGAAATGCATTCCAGGTGACTACCTCATGAAGCTGGTTGAGAGAATGCACGTGTGCAAAGCTGTCATCAAGGCAAAGGGTGGCTACTTTGAAGAATCTAAAATATATTTTGGTTACTACATGATTCCATATGTGTTATTTCATAGTTTTGATGTCTTCACTATTATTCTACAATGTAGAAAATAGTAAAAAATTAAGAAAAACCCTTGAATGAGTAGATGTGTCCAAACATTTGACTGGTACTGTATAAAAAAAAAATGTTAACAACCCAATATTGTTAATAAACCAGGTTGTCACCAAAAGACAAAAAAAAAAAAATATATATATATACAGTGGGGAGAACAAGTATTTGATACACTGCCGATTTTGCAGGTTTTCCTACTTACAAAGCATGTAGAGGTCTGTAATTTTTATCATAGGTACACTTCAACTGTGAGAGACAGAATCTAAAAGAAAAATCCAGAAAATCACATTGTATATGATTTTTAAGTAATTAATTTGCATTTTATTGCATGACATAAGTATTTGATACATCAGAAAAGCAGAACTAAATATTTGGTACAGAAACATTTGTTTGCAATTACAGAGATCATACGTTTCCTGTAGGTCTTGACCAGGTTTGCACACACTGCAGCAGGGATTTAGGCCCACTCCTCCATACAGACCTTCTCCAGATCCTTCAGGTTTCGGGGCTGTCGCTGGGCAATA